ACAAGGGGGTGGCAGTGATAAACAAGGGGGTGGCAGTGATAAACAAGGGGGTGGCAGTGATAAACAATGTGGTGGCAGTGATAAACAAGGTGGTGGCAGTGATAAACAAGGGGTGGCAGTGATAAACAAGGTGGTGGCAATGATAAACAATGTGGTGGCAGTGATAAACAAGGTGGTGGCAGTGATAAACAAGGGGGTGGCAGTGATAACAAAGGGGGTGGCAGTGATAAACAATGTGGTGGCAGTGATAAACAAGGTGGTGGCAGTGATAAACAAGGTGGTGGCACTGATAAACAAGGTGGTGGCAGTGATAAACAAGGGGGTGGCAGTGATAAACAATGTGGTGGCAGTGATAAACAAGGTGGTGGCAGTGATAAACAAGGGGGTGGCAGTGATAAACAAGGTGGTGGCAGTGATAAACAAGGTGGTGGCACTGATAAACATGGGGGTGGCAGTGATAAACAAGGGGTGGCAGTGATAAACAAGGGGGTGGCAGTGATAAACAAGGGGGTGGCAGTGATAAACAAGGGGGGTGGCACTGATAAACAAGGTGGTGGTGGCAGTGATAAACAATGTGGTGGTGGCAGTGATAAACAAGGGGGTGGCAGTGATAAACAAGGGGGTGGCAGTGATAAACAAGGTGGTGGTGGCAGTGATAAACAAGGTGGTGGCAGTGATAAACAAGGGGGTGGCAGTGATAAACAATGTGGTGGCAGTTATAAACAAGGGGGTGGCAGTGATAAACAAGGGGGTGGCAGTGATAAACAATGTGGTGGCAGTTATAAACAAGGGGGTGGCAGTGATAAACAAGGTGGTGGCAGTGATAAACAAGGTGGTGGCACTGATAAACAAGGGGGTGGCAGTGATAAACAAGGGGTGGCAGTGATAAACAAGGGGGTGGCAGTGATAAACAAGGGGGTGGCAGTGATAAACAAGGGGGGTGGCACTGATAAACAAGGTGGTGGTGGCAGTGATAAACAAGGGGGTGGCAGTGATAAACAAGGGGGTGGCAGTGATAAACAAGGTGGTGGCAGTGATAAACAAGGTGGTGGCACTGATAAACAAGGGGGTGGCAGTGATAGCCACACTTGGGGGGATCCGACCCTTGCACTTAAGTGAGAAGAAAGTAGAAGGGGAGGGGGGGGGAGGAGATGGGGAGAGAGGCGGGAGGGAGAGAGAGGAGAGGGAGAGAGTGGGTGAGGGAGAGAGCGGGTGAGGGAGAGAGCGGGTGAGGGAGAGAGGGGGGAGGTGTGTGTGTGTGTGTGTGTGTGTGTACGTGTATGTGTGTGTGTGTGTGTGTGTGTGTGTGTGTGTGTGTGTGTGTGTGTGTGTGTGTGTGTGTGTGTGTGTGTGTGTGTGTGTGTGTGTGTGTGTGTGTGTGTGTGTGTGTGTGTGTGTGTGTGTGTGTGTGTGTGTGTGTGTGTGTGTGTGTGTGTATGTGTGTGTGTGTGTGTGTGTGTGTGTATCTGGATGTATATATGTATTTGTGTATAAATTAAAGTTATATATGACCGCATTACTTGCATTGTTGATCTTATTGTATAATCTTCCTACGCTTTTATTTTCTTGCTTTCGGGATTAAGAAGGGCAATCAAGTTAGCGAAATTCATGGCAAAGAAACTCTAATGATTATTGAAGGGTATATTTTCTACCATTTATACGTAGAAAGGAGAAGGGTGTATTTAGATCACTTAGAACTCTAAATGATCCCGGTCAGGATTCGAACCCATGCCGCTCAGGATCACCTCTAAACGTACACAGTACTGGGACCACCTAATCAATGATAGTATATGTATATATACATATACATATAATATATATATGTATATGTATTGGGCGGAGACGTTATTAATGCAGTATATTGAACATACCTATAACATTCTAGGCTGTGGAAAGAAATATATCACTAGTTGTTAACCAAATAATATGAAAATCGTAAATATGTTAGCAATATCCACTATGATATATTGATAAATGAAAACACATTTTCTGGTGTATCAAATTCCCAATGAGGTCAATACAATGCTGTTGGTTATATATAGAGTCAACAGAACTAGGGAGTCCCTATTTTATTATTACTTCACAGGGGCGCTAATGAGCCCTCATGTAAGCTATTACTGTCCAACTATTCTCACCGCACTCCAAAATAGACATAAATCATTTTGCATGCATTGCAATGATAATTGACAATATTAATCTAGAACATTAAAATTTATAATTAAGGAGAGGGGGGGGGGGTTACATAGGAGAAGGGTCCCTGGGCCAGTAGTTAAGACCACCTTCTCGAACCTTGGACTCACTTGAGGACTGTTACGTATCATTTCTTCAATTTTCATTTTCATATTATACACACTGCCTCTAATTGTGATAGGGACATTTTCAGCTAGGATACACGTGAATAATAAAATCAGTTAATAACCAACTGAATCCCTATGTCTCTAAGTAACGCTATCCTCCGTGATATGCTGGAACATACAACGTATATCAGTCTTATATGATTCCATGTATATTTAATTGCCTTAACTAATTCATGGGCAACTCAACCTCCACGAATATTAATTATTAGAATTCCCCCGCTCCCAAGTTAGAAATAACTTACATGAATGTCTGAAGGATAGAGAGAGAGTGGAGTCTATCTGTTACCCTAACTCCAACTTGTTCTCTGGGAAAAAAGTTAGAAGAGTCCAACTTAAATCTGCTAAAAATAAAGAACGTGGGTCAGAAGCTTTCCTTGTAGTTTAATGAATAAACAAGGTGGTGGCACTGATAAACAAGGTGGTGGCACTGATAAACAAGGGGGTGGCACTGATAAACAAGGTGGTGGCACTGATAAACAAGGTGGTGGCACTGATAAACAAGGTGGTGGCAGTGATAAACAAGGGGGTGGCAGTGATAAACAAGGGGTGGCAGTGATAAACAAGGTGGTGGCACTGATAAACAAGGTGGTGGCAGTGATAAACAAGGGGGTGGCAGTGATAAACAAGGGGGTGGCAGTGATAAACAATGTGGTGGCAGTGATAAACAAGGTGGTGGCAGTGATAAACAAGGTGGTGGCAGTGATAAACAAGGTGGTGGCAGTGATAAACAAGGTGGTGGTGGCAGTGATAAACAAGGTGGTGGCAGTGATAAACAAGGGGGTGGCAGTGATAAACAAGGGGGTGGCAGTGATAAACAATGTGGTGGTGGCAGTGATAAACAAGGTGGTGGCAGTGATAAACAAGGGGTGGCACTGATAAACAAGGTGGTGGTGGCAGTGATAAACAAGGGGGTGGCAGTGATAAACAAGGGGGTGGCAGTGATAAACAATGTGGTGGTGGCAGTGATAAACAACGTGGTGGCAGTGATAAACAAGGTGGTGGCAGTGATAAACAAGGGGGTGGCAGTGATAAACAAGGGGGTGGCAGTGATAAACAAGGGGGTGGCAGTGATAAACAATGTGGTGGCAGTGATAAACAAGGGGGTGGCAGTGATAAACAATGTGGTGGTGGCAGTGATAAACAAGGGGGTGGCAGTGATAAACAACGTGGTGGCAGTGATAAACAAGGTGGTGGCAGTGATAAACAAGGGGGTGGCAGTGATAAACAAGGGGGTGGCAGTGATAAACAATGTGGTGGCAGTGATAAACAAGGGGGTGGCAGTGATAAACAAGGTGGTGGCAGTGATAAACAAGGTGGTGGCACTGATAAACAAGGGGGTGGCAGTGATAAACAAGGGGGTGGCAGTGATAAACAAGGGGGTGGCAGTGATAAACAAGGTGGTGGCATTGATAAACAAGGGGGTGGCACTGATAAACAAGGTGGTGGTGGCAGTGATAAACAAGGGGGTTTCAGTGATAAACAAGGGGGTGGCAGTGATAAACAATGTGGTGGCAGTGATAAACAATGTGGTGGTGGCAGTGATAAACAATGTGGTGGTGGCACTGATAAACAAGGGGGTGGCAGTGATAAACAAGGGGGTGGCAGTGATAAACAAGGTGGTGGTGGCAGTGATAAACAAGGTGGTGGCAGTGATAAACAAGGTGGTGGCAGTGATAAACAAGGGGGTGGCAGTGATAAACAAGGGGGTGGCAGTGATAAACAAGGGGGTGGCAGTGATAAACAAGGGGGTGGCAGTGATAAACAAGATAATTATAAGCAGTGACAATGGAATAAAGTGGCGCAGTGGGTAACACACTCGCTCCGGGCTTCGCAAGCGATTTGGTCTGGTTCGTATCCTGGCTGGGGGAGGATTGACTTGGCACAAGTCCTTAACTGAACGCCTCTGTTCACTCAGCAGTGAATGGGGTACCTGGTTGTTGAACCATTTGGCGGATCGTGTTGCAGGAAGGAATAAGATTAAGGACCTGCCTGAAACAAGATACGTTCTGGGGGGCTTTACAAGATTATAAGAACTCTGGTATAATATAAATCAAATGAAACAGGAATTTCCTTAAGTACTTTCGTATATTAATACATCTTCAGAAGGAGTACTTCTTCTGAAGATGTATTAATATACGAAAGTACTTAAGGAAATTCCTGTTTCATTTTTCCTCCGTGGTCTGACACTGTCACATTTTTAATCACGTGTTTATTTTCGTGATATATACACACAAATCAAATAAAATAACAAGTAATATCATAGTTATTGAAGAGCGAAGCGATAATTAGATAAAGAAAGTTTACATTGGCACTGTAGTGTTAGTATGGAGTTGGTGCATAGAAGGATCTTCACATGAATATGAAGACTATTTACATTATACAATTTGCATTGTACTGAGCCAATGTGACTATACTCAAACCTTAACCTAACCAACCACATGTTAAATTTAACTTATGTCTAGGATTATGCACTGATGTATGTGTGTCCTGTCAAGTTTGTATGCAATATTGCACGGTGGTGTAGATGTGTTATCTTGTGTTAGATGTGATATCTTGTGTTAGATTTGTTATCTAGCCTTGTGTTATCTTATCTATGTGTTAAACCCACGTTGTTTAACACTGTCCTCCCCCGTGTTTCCACAGGGCTACCACCTGATAGGTCAGGCCACACGACACTGCCAGGCCAACGGGATCTGGACCTCGGCGCCCCCAGAGTGCAGAGAAAACTGTAAGTTCCTTCATCTCTCATTTGTTATTGTTCAGAATATTGACCTTTCCTTGCTGAAGTAGTTCTGATCTCAGACCTTTTTTTATAGTATATTGATACAAATTTTTTTTTGTGTGACTTGAATTCATATTATAATTAATTCTCATATTCTTATTGTTATTATTATGTTGTTTAAAATTCGCTACCTGGAACATAAAGTTCCAAGTAGCACGGGCTATGGTGAGCCCGTAGGGTTATTATAAATATTAATATTGTCTTCTTGTTTCTTAGCTCTTGTGTTAGTGGTGAATTTCAAGTACATTGTATATGAGAACTGTGTTTCAACTTGTCAGCAGCGTTATCAAAGCGTTCACATAACTGATACAAGGAATTCTTTTTTTTATAAACAAATTCATCTTGACCCGAGTAGATCTTGTGGGTCAGACATAATGGGGGTGTAGGGAGACACAACTCATTCTGAGGAATGGTATTCTTCCTGGCCTCTGATATCTATTGCAACACTGCTGCAACATACCATTACCATCACTCTTACCACCTCTTTCTCCAGGCTCACTATCATTATCTCAATCATTATCATCTTCAACACTATCTCTTCCGTCGCTGCCAACACAAGACAGATGGGAAACATTGAAATGATTTACATGTCACTGCCACCATTAGCACCACCACCACTGTCACCATTAACACCACCACCACTGCCACCATTAACACCACTGCCACCATTAACACCACAACCACTGCCACCATTAACACCACCACCACTGCCACCATTAACACCACCACCACTGCCACCATTAGCACCACCACCACTGTCACCATTAACACCACCACCACTGCCACCATTAACACCACTGCCACCATTAACACCACTGCCACCATTAACACCACAACCACTGCCACCATTAACACCACCACCACTGCCACCATTAGCACCACCACCACTGTCACCATTAACACCACCACCACTGCCACCATTAACACTACTGCCACCATTAACACCACAACCACTGCCACCATTAACACCACCACCACTGCCACCATTAACACCACCACCACTGCTACCATTAGCACCACCACCACTGTCACCATTAACACCACCACCACCACTGCCACCATTAACACCACTGCCACCATTAACACCACAACCACTGCCACCATTAGCACCACCACCACTGCCACCATTAGCACCACCACCACCATCACTGCCACCATTAGCACCACCACCTTATCTGAGAACTACTTCCCCCTGCACCAGTCCTCCTTCCTCACCACCTCTACCAACAGCTGTCATGGACGTTGATTGATTACAGGCAGAGAAGGGTTGGAGAGAGAGAGAGAGAGAGAGAGAGAGAGAGAGAGAGAGAGAGAGAGAGAGAGAGAGAGAGAGAGAGAGAGAGAGAGAGAGAGAGAGAGAGAGAGAGAGAGAGAGAGAGAGAGAGAGAGAGAGAGAGAAACGTATAAAATACAAAGGGAAATCACAATGGATAGAATTGAAATGTTCACAATGACTCCCAAGTGAGCATGGATGGCAGTTTGAGACTCGGACGAACCAAAGAGATGTTATACAGTTTTCATTTAGCATAAGAGTAGTGGGGAAATTCAAATGAACTAAAGGAGCAAGTTGTGGAAGCAAACTATATTATTTATATTAAAACTATGTATTATAGAGAAATCGTCCAGGAGTGATACTGCACTAGACAGCCTCCAGCAGGAATGGAAGGGGGGTACAAGAGCTATCGCTCGACCCTGAAGGCTCAAAACGTATAATACGTAAATAGAGAGACAGGTAAAGGAACACGTAAAGGAACATTGTGAGAGGAGCGTGTGTGTCTCTTTCAGACAAAACTGGAATATGCAGCAGCTGTATGGTGCCCAAATCTCAAAAAGCTCATAAATATACTGGAAAAGGTGGAACGGCATGCTACAAAATGGCTTCCGGAACTGAAAAACAAATGTTTCGAGGAGAGACTAGAGGCGTTAAATATGCCAAAACTAGAAGATAGAGGAAAGAGTGGTGATATGATCACCACTTACAAAATACTATCAGGAAGAGATCAGATTTATAAAGAGGAATTCCTGAAACCATCAACTTTATGAAGATGATGATACAGATTCAAGCTCAGAAAACAGAGGTGAGGTGAATATTAGAAAATTTTATTTTGCAAACAGAGTGGTTGGAACTAATTAAGTGAGAAGGTGGTGGAGGCCCAAACCATCAATAGTTTTAAAGCGTTATACGACAAAGAGTACTGGGAAGACGGGACACCACGAGCGTAGCTCTCATCCTGTAATTACACCTCATCACACACACACACACACACACACACACACACACACACACACACACACACACACACACACACACACACACACACACACACACACACACACATACACACACACACACACACACACACACACCCACACACACACACACACACACACACACACATACACACACACATACACACACACACACACACACACACACACACACACACACACACACACACACACACACACACACACACACACACACACACACACACACACACACACATACTGAATTATAGACATTGTTCAAAATGTTCACTTAGTAAACCTCAGGAAACCTGGTGATATATTCGGTATAAGCCAGTAGGCAATAAATCATTACCGTAGAAGTTGCCAATAGCATGTCCAGGCTCTTAGCCATTAAATATACAAATTATCATAACAAATTAATTAATGAAACACTGTACCAACTTATTGACATAATAGACTCAAACAGAGTAACAGATCAACACTGGCTGGTCATAATATTAACTAATGAACTCTCTAATTCAACAGTTGAAAAATGGTAATTAATATAATTCCAATATATACTTTTCCTATGATTATCTATATCCATAAAATTGCCAATCGCCTCCCTAGCTTCTTAGACTTTTGGTGTTCAGTTCCCGACCGTCCAAGTGATTGAGTATGAGTACCATTCCTTTCCACCGTCCCATCCCAAATCGTTATCCTGACCCCTTCTCAGTGCTATATAGTCGTAATAGATTGGCGCTTTGTCCTGATAGTTCCCTTCCCTTCTAAGACTGGGCCCTGCCTCAATACCTGGGGCCAGATTCACGAAGCAGTTACGCAAGTACTTACGAACGTGTACTTCTTTCCTCAATCTTTGACGGCTTTGGTTACATTTATTAAACAGTTTACGAGCATGAAAACTTGCCAATCAACTGTTGTTATTATTATAAAGAGCCTCCTGGTGCTTCGGAGCTCATTAACTGTTTAATAATTGTAAACAAAGCCGCCAAAGATTGAGAAAAGATGGACTGGTTCGTAAGTGCTTGCGTAACCGCTTCGTGAATCTGGCCCCTGGTCTATAACAACACCTCGGTACACTGGAACATCTGTCATTCGATCACCATGTTCCGAGGATAGAACCCGCAGCTCTGTTGCAGCCTTGACGCTGCCGGATCGAGCGGTGACGTCCCTCCCAACCCTCTCCTCTCAGGTGGGAGAGGATGATATGTCCACGGTGCTCTGGATGTCTACGAGAAGACGTGATGACCTCTTGAGCTGTTGACTCGTGTCCAACTCTCCCACCAGTTACCCTCTCCGAGGCTGACAAGGGGCCCTTAAAGTTTTTCGTTGCTGTGTGGATAATGTCTTGGTTACCACCACCCTGTTCTTGGGGCTACTTTACCGTGGGATTGTTTCGAGGATCAACGTCCCTGTGGCCCAGTCTCTGACCAGGCCTCCTGGTTGGTGAGCTGGTTAACCAGACCATCAACGTAGCTGCTAGCAGGTGGAGGTATAAGTCACAGTCTGGTTGATCAGGTATCCTTTGGAGGTATATAGCGCTCTCTATTTTGAACCAGCCAGTTATGCCCCTTATGAGTAGTAAGAGAATCTTGACAAGTCTTGGGCCTTTGATGTTGATAGAGGACTCTCTCAGAGTACATGTTGCAAATTTGCATTTCAACAAAGCTGTTTTGCACATCCAGCAATGCCTCCTGATCTCATGTGATGTTCCTTCCGTGTGTAGATTGGAAACGTAACTTCAATTTTTTCCATGGTTAATTATTATGTATCAAACTTGGAATGGGGCTGTTATTGTGGATCAATATTCCACTTTTGATAGAGTTGAGTATCTTCATTGTTATGGAGTCTCTTGTTTGTGAAGTTCTTGTTATCCAACCTGTAATTTTTCTTGCGATTTTGACAACTACGATATTGTGATGAGGTCTTCCGCCCTTACTACTCTTATGATAACCTTATTTTTATGATTACTTCCAGGTATTTTTAATTGCTTTTCGTTCTATAGTGGGATTTGACAGTCTTTTCCAAACAGTTGTGACAGTAACTTTAGTGTTCTTTAAAAGCAAAGTCTTCTGACATGATTATTCTCAGATGGTTTTCATTGTATTCTTTTTCTATAGTACGATTTGACAGCTGTTTATATGTGGTTTCTGTTTTTAAATATTTTTTTCCTTAGCGTAGGAGGTGGAACTTATTTTCATTAAACATTTAATTTTGTGTTAATCATTCTAAGACCTGATTTGCATCAGGTTGAAGGTTTGCTGCGTCCTCTCTGTTATCTACTCTTATAAAAATACTTGCATGATCTGCAAAGGATGATACGGCACTATAGTTTATATCCTTGTCTGCATGCCATAAGAGAATGAGAAAAGAACTGGAGCAAGCACAGTACCTCGAAAATGTCACTATAACTCTCCCTTCACTACCAGAACTATTGTCGAATATTCAATGGTATCAGGTATCAGGGCAGAGCTTCGTTATTACTGGACACACAAAAGGGACCTTGAGGAAGGATGGTAGGGAGGCCAGAGAGGTTGCTTGCATCAATCAAACCTCTCAAGACGGTAGCTTTGTTTAAGCCAGTTAGTTGGTGTTTTCTTTTCCTAATGACGTCCCACCACAGTCCCTCTCCTCCCAGAGGCCCGGGACCTGACGGTGGACGCCCACACAACACCCAAGAGACACTACGTTTTGTT